TTATCTTCTTGTTCTGACACCAAAAGAAACAAGAGGAGTAAATCAAACTCGTTCCTCAAAGCCCTCTTGTCTTTCTTTGCCGTCGAGGGACGGGGGACGGAGGAGCTTCCTGAAGAGAAAACTTGGGTCTTTATCTCCGGAGGAAACAAAAATACAAATTCAGTGCTTAGGGTACTTGGATTTATTTTGTTTTTGTTTCCTCCCATTGATAGAGCCCAAGGAAAAGAGGTTGAGGAATGAGAATCTGAAGGATCATTCAGAGAAGCATGAGAAAAAGAGTGCGAATGGAATAGTGGCAGTGGGAATAGACAAAGACAAGGGGAGTCAATATGCACTCAAATGGGCAACTGAACATCTCCTCGCGAGAGGCTCAACCCTAGTTCTCATCCATGTCAATGTTAGGTTAAATCAAGCTTCATGTCAGTACACCTTGTTCTCTGCATACAATGCTTAAAAGTACCCCCAAGAAACTTTATATTATAGCATAGTAATAGAAGAAGCGCCTCCTGACTTGGCACCCAGTGGCCACGAGATTAATTGACCTCTCACTTTTGTTGAGTGCAGGGTCATGGAATAGTAACGTGGACAAGGGATCATTGCCAACAAAAACTCTGATAGTCACACTGAGGAAATTTTTCATCCATGCCATGTCTTTTGTGCACGGAAAGGCGTAGGTTTTACCTTCCCCCCCCCCCCCCCCCCGCTTCCCTTGGAAAATAATCTGAAAATTTTTCTCTAGCAAAATGACCCAAGTTTAAATAATTCACAATGACTTCCATCGACAGCTGTTAGTTGTAACTTCTAATCATTTTAATATAACTTTTTATCTTTTCACCCCACACCCCTTTCTATGGCGGGGGATTGGATGATGGACTACAGATACATTGCAAGGATGTCATACTAGAAGATACAGATGTAGCGAGAGCTTTGATTGAATATGCTTTTCGCACAGCTACTGAGCATTTAGTTATTGGCTCTTCAAGTAGAACTGGCTTATTCAGGTATCTATCTCTCTTGCTGAGTCACATGGTCGTACCTTAACATCTTTGCAAATCATCAACGAACTAAATACTGAATAGCCTTAGATGAACTCAACCAAACTTGATCAACAATGAAGCTTCAAATGAGAAAAGGAAAGAAAACTTGCCATATATTTATGTCATATTCTATATAATTCCATATTATCATTTCGACTTGATATGGTTTATAACATTAAGAAATGTTAACATTAATTTGACCCCACCTGCTTCCATTTTAAGTTGAAAATGTGGTTTAGGATTCAATAGTGTAAATGGCTTTTTACTTTTCTGGCTTGCCTATACGAATGGATGCATATTAATTCCCAACGATTTTTTTTTTTTTTAATTGTCATCAGAAGATTCAAGTTAGTTGATATTCCAGGAACGGTGACAAAAGGAGCACCGGATTTCTGTTCTGTCTATGTTGTTGCGAAAGAAAAGATTCAAACAATGCGATCAGCTTCTCGTCCTGCTCCAGCCACTTACCTTCCCAGCAAGCATATTCAAGGAAGCATCAAGCCGAAACTAGCAGAGACAAATATGCCATTAAATAATCATGGTATGAGATATTGGATTCATTTCTTCATGAATCACTCGCGCACACATAAGCCCATATTGCATGTATTTCGTTCACTGAGTAATGTGGTTTCTATCAGCACATGAAAAACGATCCACTGGTGGACAAAGTACATTAAAGGATGAAACTGAATCCTTCAGGTCAGTGGCAGCGCATACTCCTCAGCAAATTCCTTCAAGTTTGTTCATTTTGGTCTATGGATTTGTTCTTGGCATGGTCAAATAGCATGAGCTTGTCAGCTGAAAGGTGAAAACTATTTGTTACTGATATCAGGTCACCATTAACCAGGAAAAATTTGGATGGCAAGTCACATGGGGAAAATTCCCTTCCAGGTACTGACATATCCTTTGTAAGCTCTGAAACACCGAGTGCAGACCACATATTCTGTTATTATATGATAGCTCTGATTCAGGAATGTCGAATAGCTCAGAGATAGACGGGAACTATAGCTTTGAGTCATTGCAGCATCAAAAGGGGTCAATGGATATTAGCTCTCATCTGGAATCCTTCTCATCAGATGGTGATGGACTTTTAACGTCACATGGCACGGTATGAAAGATTGGGCAACATACATTCTACTTCCGGTACTGCCCATGCAGTGTGCATTTATCAGTAGTTCTTGCACTTATAAGGGGCCTTAAGGAACTTTGCAATTCACTAATTTTGATACAGTTTTCATTAGAAGGTTGATTTTTAATATGCTATTTTAAGATCAAGGTATGAACGAATGCGGTGGGGCTACTCATCTTGCAATCTTTATGAATATTATATGATAATACCATTAAATTTCCTTTTCACTTCCTTTCCCTGATTGCTGTATGGGTATGTATTGTGATAAAATCATAGGACGATATAGAGGCTGAAATGAGGAGACTAAAATTGGAGCTTAAGAGAACAATGGAAATGTATAGCACCGCCTGTAAAGAAGCACTCGTGGCACAGCAGAAGGTTTTTTTTTTTTTTTTGGGGATTAAAATCAGTTTTTTTTTCTTTTACATGTTGACGTTTTGCATCACAGACAATAGAGCTCCAACGTTGGAAAAGGGAGGAAGAAAGGAGATTGGAAGAGGCAAGGCTTGCTGGGGAAGCTGCATCTGTGGTTGCAGAAAAGGAGATGGCCAGAAGTAAAGCAGCCAAGGAGGCTGCTGAAGCACAAAAGAGGATTGCAGAACTGGAAGCACAAAGGAGGGTTGTTGCAGAAGGGAAAGCAGTGAAAGAATCAGAGGAGAAAACAAAAGCACTTGGTGCTTTAACAAACATAGACATCAGTTATAGAAAGTATTCAATCGAGGAGATTGAAGCTGCAACGGAGCTCTTTGCAGATTCTTTAAAGATTGGAGAAGGGGGTTATGGTCCTGTATATAGGTGCCATTTAGACCATACCCCTGTAGCAGTAAAGGTTCTACGTTCTGATGCAACACAAGGGAGGTCACAGTTTCAACGAGAGGTAATCAGTGAAACAAGTGAAACAAAACTGGGTCTATTGGCAATATAGTTGACTTGCTAATATATCATTACAGGTTGAGGTACTGAGCTGCATAAGGCATCCAAACATGGTTCTCCTCCTGGGAGCATGTCCAGAGTATGGCTGCCTTGTCTATGATTATCATGGCCAACGGAAGCTTAGAAGATCGCCTCTTTCGTCGAGGAAACACTCCCTCTCTTCCTTGGCAGCTTAGGTTCAAAATTGCAGCCGAAATATGCACTGGCTTGTTGTTTCTGCACCAGAGAAAACCAGAGCCTCTGGTGCATAGGGACTTGAAACCAGCTAACATCCTGCTTGACAGCAACTATGTGGCCAAGATCAGTGATGTAGGCTTAGCCAAACTAATTCCACCATCTTTGGCTGACAGTGTGACACAATATCAAATGACGTCTGCTGCTGGAACTTTCTGCTATATAGATCCAGAGTACCAACAGACAGGAATGCTTGGGGTGAAATCTGATATATACTCCCTTGGGATCATTTTCCTGCAGATTTTAACAGCTAGGCCACCCATGGGTTTGACTCATCAGGTTGAGAGAGCTATTGAGAAAGGGGCATTTGCTCAGATACTGGATCCAACAGTGCCTGACTGGCCTGTAGAAGAGGCCTTGAGCCTAGCAAGTATGGCACTTAAGTGTTCCCAATTAAGGCGAAAAGATAGACCTGATCTCGCCAAGGTTGTCTTACCTGAACTGGGCAGATTGAAAAATCTTGCTTAAAATATTAATTACCTTGCACCCTCAAGTGGTTGTGCATCTACATTCAGCCATAGCCATGTCTCTGTACAGCATCTTGTAAGCTTCATATCTTCTCAATTCCCTTTTCCTCATAATTTTCCCAAATCATTATTATCTTCAACATTTATATGTTTGTGTGCGCGTGTATACCCACTCCTCTGTTTAGATGAAAGGGGATTTCACACCACCAATAACAGGCATTTCCTCATTAGTCCTGAACTATAACTTTCAACCAGCCATAATTGCTTAACATAAAGATTGTTTTGACTGTTGCAGGATGGGGCTGGTCTTCCACTTCCCTGTTCTGGGATGAGCACGAGAAAAAATCCATGACCATTTTGGACAAGAAAAACACATCCCGTGCAGGGAAGAAAAAGCAAAAGAGAAATTTTCTATCAGATTGAGCTCCAGGACAAAGCATAAAATGCATCAGTGTATTGCTGTGGTAGCCATTAGCAGCATTCTTCGAGCAGTACCGCTTCAGGGGTTTTTCAGGGTCTCAAATAAGCCCCCCACCACTGAGATGGTTTTTTCAGCGTCTCAAAAATTTTTCACTAGTTTTTTTGATCCCCAGTAAACAACACAAAAGTCAAATATAATTATATTTTTTATAAAAATTAAGAGCAATGACTACATTTCATTTGGAAACCATGACATTGGTGTCCCATCCTCGTCATTTGTTTCATTTTCTTTTTCCTTTTCCTTCCCACTTATAGCCAAGTTACAATTGAAAGAGAGGAATCTCTTAATGCTCGTTTTGCAGGATGCAATGAAAAATAAAAATGCAAAATTGAAGTTTTAATGACTTAGAAAAGGTTAAAAAAAAACAAATGAAAGAGAATGAAATGCTTAAGCATTGTTTTTAGCAACAGATTATTGCTCCGAGAGAGACAAAAAGAGATCACACCTAAATAGAATAATCCACAAGGCTATTACAAAAGCAAATTTAATTTTTTCGAACATCTTACATTAGTTTCAAATTATGATGTTTTCTTCCTGACTTTTATAAGATACTTTTACAGATTTCAAAATTGCAAAAAAAAAAAAAGGTCATATTGAAAGCTAAGGCATTACATGATTTGATATAGAGGTAGCCAAGCTTTCCTAAATCTAAATCAAACGAAAAATGACGTACTTCACAGAATGAAGTCTGATTTAGTAAAGCGGTGAAGCCTAGCAACTTCTTCCGACAAATTGATTCCTTTCACCATTATGGTTATGTCCCCAGTGTCCTGACATACTCTTCATTGTCAAGAGCTGAGAGACAGACAACCACAACGTGCCAACTAGCTAACTAATAACGTGCTCTCACTTTAGGCATAGACATATCTTATTGCATGAAGCACTAAAACTTTAATCCATTTTGAGGCTTGTAATAGTATATAACAGTTGTAAACTAAATGTCCTCTGCTTCCTTTGAGAAGTCTGGCTCTTTAGGCTTTTGTAACTTAGGCATCTTAATATCCGTTATCCTCAGAGCTTCTCTTCTTGATTTTGTGCCAAATCCTGATATGTCTACAGGGTCGCTCGGTGAAGTATTACTTGAAGTCACAGCAGTGAGCATTTGCTGGCTATGTCCCATTTCATCAAAATCATCAAATGGCTGATCTCCGCTCAAACTCATTGCCAGCATTCTATTCTTGTACCTTCTCCAAGAAGCCTGAATGAAGCAGGCTGCCCAAGTCCTCCAATGGTACGAGTAGAAACGGAAGGTATGTTGCAGTTTCTTGCTGTGAAAACGACGAAACTGATTGGCCACGAACTTGAGATCTTCTGCTCTCAGTGCAAAGGCCTCTACTTCCACAAGGGCTTTCACTGTTCTTGTAGAAGAAGGCAAATTGAGAGTGGATGTTGATGTGGGAAGCAACGCCCATGATAGTAATTCTCCTCCACAGAAATCACCTGGTTTCAATACAATAGAGTTGAAGAAGCCTGTCCTGCCTCCATTTGTGGTTGAGCTTTCAAGTCTTCCTCTTATTATGAAAAGCATCTCTGTCACTGGATCTCCTTCCCGTACAACATAAGTTCCTTGAGGACTCAAGAACAATACCGATCTCTCACATATTGCATCCAGTAGCTGATCATCCATTTGTGAGAAAAAGGGGACCTGCAAATTTCTTCAGCTTCAGTTTCAATTTTTATTCAGACACGTGGGGTTTGAATCCTCTAAAATAAAAACATGTCAATGCCTTGTCGGATATGATTAAAGAAAGATTTGATATCAGAAATAAGATTATTTGTTCGTGGGAGCAACTCACACGTCGAATAAGATCTAAGCAAAGGTAACATTGAATATCTCTACGCAGGTCTTTGGGAAGGCCTCGCAAGATAGATTCCTCATCGGTTCCTTGAGTTGCAAGCCATTTGTATTGAAGAAATCTTCGAACACGTCCTCTCAAATGTTGTGGAAGTTGGCGGTGTTTCATCCACTCTTCAGTATCATGTCGCTTGAGTCTCCATTCCTCCACTCTCACAGTAATAGATTGCAAATATGTCTGCACCAAGTGTTTACCATGCACAGGACACGAGTTATGTAACAAGTTTGTTTGTGGTTTTACTTAGAAGGTGACAAATATTTGATAGGATTCCAGAGTCAAAATTATAGTACCTGCATGTTTCCAATCAAATGGGCAAACAAAACTAAACCTAGGATACATACGAGTATTGAAAATGTAGTTTCCCCAATGAACTTGCTCGTAATCAATTCCTGGCCACAGCAGCTGAAATTAATGCATAATAATATTCAGCTTAGACACATGAAATTAATGCATAATATTCAGCTTAATTTGACATTATAACTTCCACGTTAGATATTACCTCAGATTCTGCAAGCCCCACCACAGACAATAGACGTACTTATGAACAAACTCTATGGAACTGACATTATAGTGAACCGCTGGTTCAAAAATGCCGAACTCGAAACTGTCGCTGTTTGATGGATTGCAGTTAGCAAACACAGAAGTAGAGTTTATCCACTTTAAGCGATCATCATTGTTTGAAGTTCTGCAATCCAAGTACTTAAGGATACATTGAGTTTCATTTTTGCATTCAGATTTCCAGCAAGTAGCATTCCTTTCAAACGAAAACAAATACCATAATGCTCCCAAACCTACGTCCACGTTAGTTTTACTTACGTCAGACTTGTCACTTTCTGAGGGATTATAATTAAAAGCCTGCAAGTGAAGTTAATTGACGTACATGGCTAGCCAACATGTAAAGTAAAAGATTATAAGCTGCTCCGGCCCAAGCTGTCTTTGTAACTACCCCAGCCGCTTTGACGATCTGAGAACTTAATGGGAAAATCAAGTATAATCTGGGGAAATATTGAAGCAGAATGATCAGTACAAGAGAATTGCTGGAGTGGTCTGCGCGGGGGCTTTTAACTGCAGGCATTATAAGCCAAATCAGGATCTGCCATTGAAGAAGAAACGCCAGCATTGTCATTTCACATCTCTTTCTGTTATCTTCCACAAGTTTCCAGAGACAATCAACAAAACCCAACCAAGAGGTAGGTCAAAAGGAATAATAGCAACCAAATCTAATTCAGGAATTCTTAAAAATAAAAAATAAAAAATCAAGTTTTGATATACCTGAGGAAGGGGGAGTGTGGCTAAAAGATCTATGATGAATTCTGATCTCAAATACCGCTTGGCAATCAACCATTGATCCATAACTAACTCACCTCTGCCAAAAATCCTTGAATTTGGGTCTACGTAGGCTGTTCTGAACTTGATGAGCATGTTGAGCAGATAGGAAATATCAGCCAACGTACGGAAACACGTCAGAACAATTGCCAAACTCGAATCAGTAGTCATACATGATGAGTGTCCATCATTTTCCGCTTTGGGCACATAGAAAAACAGAGGATCAATAAAGAGTGCCAGTATGCAAGAACCCAGGAATACTCGGTTCCACTGCAAATATGCGTCACTTCCAGGATCAAAAACCATCATCATCTTCTTCTTCCTCTGATCATGATTTTCTGGGAACACCATATATTTTGCAGGTGAAGGAGCTTTCCGTTTGACTCTGTTGTTATCATCAATCCCGATTTGGCCTTCCGGGTGTATCGTTGCCTTTAACTTGTATCTTGGCAACGGTTTTTCCCTGTTGGAACAGGAAAGCCTGCAAATATTGCACTTATCTTTAGCAAAACGATGCGAGGTAATAGTGGGCATAAGGGAAACAGGAAGAGAATTACCCCAGTGGCTTGTCTTTTTTGAGTTTCATTATGTGTGGACTCAAGGCATATGCTGAGATAGAAACTAGTTTTTAGATAGATGAACAAAACATGCTGTATGATTTCCGGCGGAGGCTACAAAAACATATCAAGGCACAAAGTTGCAGACTTTAGAAAGAAGCGAATCAAAGAGGTGGATTTGACTTCCGATCCTCGGATGAATAAATAAAAGGAATACGAAAAACACGTCTATGTCTTTGGAAATATGAAAGTACGTGAAGATTAGGAAGATAAGAACAATGACGGATTAGAAGTTAGTATAGGGATATATAAACGTGGGGAAAGTAAAAACAGTTGCTTGCAAAATACGGTTTCCCTAGCTATTGGCTAGGCCATATCTCCTCTGGCTAGTGGTAAGTTAGTTAATTATAAAAAATATGACATGTTTTTTTTTAAAATACCATAATCATTTTTCTTAATATCCTCTCTCTCTTTTACTTGATTATACTTGAAGAAATGTCAATAGGAATAATTTAGAAAAAAATGATAAATATGAGAAATAGATCTTATATTTAGGACAACAATCAACTCAATAATTTGGTCCTATATTAAGGACGGGAGGAGTATATATTTCAGGAACATAATTTTCCCACTAACTAACTAGTAAAACTGGAGATGCTGATAAAAATAAACTCATTCTTAAAAAAAAAAAAAAACCAATGCAGTCTTAACATTTAATTTATGCCATCTTCATATTGTTTATCGCATTCCTTAAGGATAATTTGGAAGCAGAAAAATTATAACTTTTGAAATTTATAATAAATAAAAATATGATAGAAATAAAAGATAGATTTAAAAGATAAAAGACAATAATTAATCTCGAATTTTTTTTTTAGGTTCTGATTGAATATGCAGCGATTACGTCAGTTGAATTAGAAACAAAGGGAAGCATAAGTTGACTTTTGAACGGGGACAATGGGAACTTGGAGCCATGAGATCAAGATAATCGATTATTTATTTATTTATTTGATAACAAGAAGATTAATTGAAAATTAAACAAATGACATGCTAATAGTCTAATACGACGATTTGACTTTTTGACCGAGGAGAAAACGACCCTGTCATTTCGTATTCGTGTTCATGGGATGGTTGACGGCATATATGCATATAATCCTGAAGTTTCAGTTATGTGCACATAATCTCCTTTAATTTTATTTACAAAAGAAAATTATAAACTTGTACATATGTATATATGCACACCTAGAGAGGTTATTTACTTATAATTCAAAAATTGATAAGGATTTTTTCATATAAAGTTTAAGTTCTCTGTTGATAAAATGATGGAATAATTGATAGCATAGAAATTATCTGTATAAATTTAAAAGTTTGAGGTTTTTGTGGTCAAAGTAAGATCAATGGAATTATTAAACATGGATCACGATAAGAAAGTTCCATATTTTAATTTATAATAAAATGCTGTATAATTGCGAAGTCGAGCAGGCAACAGCAATTATGCATCATTTAATACAGTATTCACATTGATTTCTCCGAGTACAAGGAATCAGTCTCATATGGTTAAGGAATCTTATCTTTTTATTTATTTAATTTAAAGAGATGCATGTGTTTGAATTCTTAAACTTTTTTTTATGAGCAAACTGTAAATAAAAAATAAAAAAAAGGTGCAGATAAGCCTATTTTCTTCTTGTTCTGATGTTTTTTATTTGATCAGTGATTTGTGATGATATAAGTCCAAGAATCAAATATTTGCACACCAAACTAAATATATGATGATATGCAATCATTACCGGTCTGCGAAGTTCAAGTTGAATGTAAAGTGATTCTTATCTACAAGAAGAAGCCGGATTTTGTAAAAAGGGTCGAGCATGTACTTGCCAGAAGTTGAAGTACAAGCTTAGAGGCAAATTCAACACATATATTTTAGGTACAGACCTCTCTTATTGCGAAAGACACTTTATCTTTGATCCTTTTTTAAAGCTTGTATTAGCCATTGTGAACTAATCATCCTCTGCTTCCACTGAGAAGTCTGGATCTTGAGGCTTTTGAAACTTAGGCATCTCAAGATCCTTAATCCTCTGAGCTCCTCTTCTTGCGTTTGCAGCAAATCTTGAGGCAAGTATAGTGACACCTAATGAATTTGCACTCGAATTCATAGCACTAAGTTTCTCCTCTTCATGTCTCATTACATTATTAATCTGTTCATCATAAGTAAATGACTGATATTCCTTTAAACTAAGGCTTGCCGCTAGTTTCTTCTTCTTGTACCTTCTCCAAGCAGCTTGAATGAAGCAGGCTGCCCAAGTCCTCCAATGGTGAGAGTAGAAACGAAAGGTGTGTTGCAACTTTTTGCTGTGAAGACGTCGAAACTGATTGGCAACAAACTTAAGATCCTCAGCTCTTAGTGCAAAGGCTTCCACTTCAACGAGGGCTTTCACTGTTCTAGTTGAAGAGGGCAAATTGGAAGTAGATTTTGGAAGCAAAGCCCATGCTAGAAGCTCTTCTCCACAGAAATCACTTGGTCTTAATGTAATTGAGTTAAAGAAACCTGTTCTGCCTCCATTTGTAGTTGAGCTTTCAAGTCTTCCTCTTATGATGAAAAGCATCTCTGTGACAGGATCTCCTTCTCGGACAATGTAAGTGCCTTGAATATTCAAACATGAAACCAATCTCTCACATATTGCATCAAGCAATTGATCATCCATTTGTGAGAAAAAAGGGACCTGCAAATTTTGGGCAAAGACATTGCCTCAGCTATAGTTGAAGCAATAGTTTCTATGCCAATAGCTAACAGCAGGATTTGTATTCTTGAAATAGAAACATGAAAACAACAGCATGCGAGTTAATTAAAGAGAAACTTAATGCAAAGAACAAGATTGTTCTTAGGAGGAACTCACACGTCGAACAAGATCCAAGCAAAGGTGGCGTTGGATATCTCTACGCAAGTCTAAGGGAAGGCCCCGCAAGATAGCTTCTTCATCAACTCCTCGAGTTGCAAGCCACTTGTATTGAACAAATCTTCGAACACGTTCTCTTAGATTTTGTGGCAGTTGACGGTGTCTCATCCATTCTTCAGTATCACGTCGCTTCAGCCTCCACTCTTCAAGCCTTACAGTGATAGATTGCAGATATGTCTGCATTAATTCAATTGAATGACATGTCATGTAGCGATTTCTTGTTTGGTTCTTCTAAAATGTGACAATCTAATAGATTGATTCAGGTTTGTATAATATTGGGAAGTCCTATATACCTGCATGTTTCCAATTAAGTGGGCAAACAAAACTAGACCCAGGATAGCTATAAGTATGGCAAATGTAGTTTCCCAAATGAAGGTGCTTGTACTCAAATTCTGGCCATAGGAACTGCAAAATTCAAATCAAATTTTAGCAATAATTCTTCGAAGGATATGTATGAAATTAACTTATGATATTCAAATTAATCTTATATAAAAAAATTTCATCTTTTTTGCTGATCTCAAATAAATCTCCATCAATAAAGAAAGACACATTAGTATTCAAAGCAGAGAAATATGACAACGAGAACCAGACCTCAAGTTTTGCAAGCCCCACCATAGACAATAGAGATACTTCTCTACAAACTGTGAGGAAACGACATTGTTTTCAACTGCAGGTCCAAAAATGCCATACTTGAAACTGATGTCATTATTCGGATTGCAGTTATCAAACACGGAAGTATTGTTTACCCACTTCATGCGATCATCATCGTTTAAAGTGCTGCAATCCAAGTATTGAAGAACACATTTCATGGGGAAAGTTTCATTCTTGCATTGTGATTTCCAACACGTGGCATTCCTTTCAATTGACAACAAGTACCATGATGCCCCCAACACCTACAACAACAACATTAGTTGTAAATCTGTAAAATTTCTGAAACTCTGAGAGAGAATAATCAGATGGGAATCATAAAAATCACTGGGTGAAGTTAGCTAATTTACATGGCTAGCCAACATGTAAAGTAAAAGATTATAAGCAGCTCCAGCCCAAGCTGTCTTTGTGACTACACCAGTGGCTTTGATAATCTGAGAACTTAAGGGGAAAATCAGATATAATCTGGGAACGTATTGAAGAAGAACAATCAGTACAAGAGCATTGTTGGTGTGATCAGCATGAGAGCTTCTAATTGCAGGCATAATAAACCAGATCATGATCTGCCATTGAACAAGCACGAACAATATTATTTAACAGCAGTTTCTGTCATTCCCCCAAGTTTCTCAGAGACAAAATACAAATATACACAACAGGACCCAGCAAAGAGGTTAGAGTGTCAATAAGCAAACAAATCAAATCCAGCGATTCTAATAAACCACCAAACGATCTATATATACAGTATATTTTAAGTTCTGATACCTGAGGAAGAGGCAGTGTAGCTACAAGATCTATGAAGAATTTTGACCTTAAATACCGTGTTGTAATTAACCTTGGATCCATGACTAACTCACCCCTTCCAAAAATCCTTGAACTCGGTGATACATAAGCTGTTCTGAACTTTATGAACATGTTCAGCAGATAGAAAATATCAGCCAATGTTCGGAAACATGTCACTACAATTCCAATATTCAAATCAGTAGCCATACACGCTGACTTTTCATCATTTGCCACCGAGGGCAAGTAGAAAAACAATGGGTCAACAAATAGAGCCAGAATGCAAGAACAAAGGAAAAGCCGGTTCCACTGCAAATATATGTCACTTCCAGGATCAAGGATTCTCTTCTTCCATGGTTCGTGGTTTTCTGGGAATACCCTAAACTTTCCGAGAGAAGGAATTTTCAGGTTGATTTTGTTCTTATCACCACTCACAATTTTGCCTTCAGAGTTTATGACTGCATGCACCCTGTATACTGGCAGTGGCTTTTCCGAAGAAGGCTCTGGTTTCTGTTTACCATCATCGTAAAACCTGCAGATTTTGCAGCCCAATAAGCAAAACAATGCAATCTTATAATGGGAATCGGGAAAGAAAACAGAGAATACGATAGAGAATTTACCTAACTAGCTTCTCATTTCTTAGCTCCATTGTGGACGGACTCAAGTCTTATGCTGACGAGAAATCAGTACTCAAAGGAGACCATTTTCAAATGCTCCTATTTCTTCTGAACTAACTCAGCTAAACAAAAGTTCCAGACTTTAGAAAGGAGCGAATCGAAGAGATTTTTTCCGATTATCGAGGATTGATATTGCGCTCAGAAATTAACTTTCAGATCATATGGGCTTGACTTTCATGTAAAAGCAAAAGGAAAAGAAACCGACAAAACGGCCTCCCACTAACACAGCTCAGATAGAGTAAGCCATGTTCATATTATAATGCGTATTGGACATACAACAGTTAGTGAGGAACGTGGGAACCACGACATGCCCATATATTTGGATTGAAAACAAAAATAGCAGCGGCTAGTCATGGATTTTTCTTCCTTATTTTTGGCCAGAAAGAAGATGCATCTTCAGAATCTGTATTATAATATGTTTGGCCTGGCTAGTTTTGTTAATCATTTTTAGGACTAGGATACCCTCCTCCGCACGCACGCACACGCCAAGTCAAAGTATCATCCACAAAGAGACAAATGGAGAGAGTATCCGGCGTATTAGAAGCATCTTGCCCTTAAAAAATATTAAGATGCAAATATGGCTGTCATTTAGATTCGAATAACATACTTTTCACCGTAAAAGGTAGGAGTAGATTATCCAAAGTGAACTCACTGTGCTTTAAAAATAAAATTAATTGATTTCAATTACTTAGTGCCTTGACGTTCAACTTTTAATTATGTTCGGTCTTTCCTACTACACTCATTGTTCTTCAAGGACTAACATGAAGGTGAAACGGAAGAAAGAAGTCAAAGGAAAAAAATTACATTTAGAGATTGGAGGAGTCAGACTTTGTACAATTTGACATTGGTAATTAGCAACAATTTTCGGGTACTTTAGTGAAAAATTTGTAAAAATTTGAATGATATGTTAAGAGTGGAGGTGAAAATTTGCCAGACGTCAACGTTCGTAACGAAACAAATGCAGAATCAAGGAAGGAAAAGTGGAAGCGAATTTCAGGAGCGAGAGAGTATAATAAGTTGACTGATTCCTGAATGAATCTTTTGGACGTCGTCTTATCTTTTATAAATTAAAAAACAATACAACTTAACGTCCGTATCAATCAACGCCCTCAGACGCTCCAGCAGCTGTACAACATACGCACAGATTCCACTGATCCCGAGTGAAAAAAGTGAAGAAAAGAAGAAAGGAAGAATTCCCATTTTATAGTACATAATACATGTCGCCATTACCGATTTCTTGCGATTATGAGCACTAAATTACAATACATTAGAAGTTTGAATTCCAAACAACTAAAAAGCAACTACAAATTCATCGCTGCTTGTGAGTTGCGACGCACACGTCGAGAGAGAAGAATTCATTCAACATAAAAGATTGTCAAATTTCCTCCAAAATCCCTCCAGCCCCTTCCCTTTTGCTTTCTTACTCGATTTAACTTCATTTCCTTCCCAATATCAATTCAATGACACATACAACTTCCGCTCATAGTTGCGAACCTTAAGTTTGATTTAAGTTTATGCTTAAAAGCCAACTGCTGGCAACGTTTAGACCTCCAAACAAACGGTCCTCTCACAAAATACGCTACGATAAACATAACATTTCTATTCTACGCTCAAAAGACTCTTGTTAATCGATACTTTCACTTATTGCTTTCTACTTTCATACCTGAGCGGCACCAAATAAGGAGCCGAGTTCACGATTTCTACATTTTCAAATCGATGTTTTCAGCTGAATGTACCAACGACAATTTTTTTTAAAACAGAATAAATACAAGAATGCTTTGACGTAAAAGGAAACATGCATTAATGAATGAATGAGACAACTACAAAATACCCGTACATGAAAGTAGATGACTCCCTGTACAAAAACGACGGGTGTAGAAAAACACAATAAAAACCAAAATGTGGATAAAATAAATAAATAAAGAGCAACCCATTCCACTTGGTAGAAAAATGGGTTTTAACTTGAAGCATTGCGTCCGTGCAAGAGACGGGGTATGCCGATGTGTCATATGTAGGCCGCATGGCAGTAAAATCTGAGACGAAAGCAAAGCGTGTGATTCGGACCAACAACGTTCACGGCCATCATCGTCCATCAGATAAAATCTATCATATTCTGCCCCCCGCAGAGTTTGAGCTAATTTGCTTTTGCTCAATGTTTGACAAATAACTAATGCAGGTCCAAGCAGATATCACAGTTTGAACACGTATTCTCTGCCAGGTGATTTGAAATTCCATCCACGGCAGACACGACTCAACATATTCCTACCCCAAGACAGCACGCGAAACAAGACAAGACAACAAAGCATGATATCTTAATCTAACCTACACGTGAGGCCTGCCCTGCACTGTTAAGTTATTTTGCTAAACGATTTAGATCTAATAAAAAGTTGAGGAAAAAAAGGGAAAGAAAGAGCTTAGTGCAGTCACGGGAAGCTTTCCAGAAATAATGACATGATCAACAAAAATTAGGTTTCTATGACATTGAAATCCAAGACCACGTGCAAAGTCTCAAGGTTCAATGAACTGTGTAAGGTAAATTTAAAACCTATTGAAGTTAAGCCGTCTGCAAACTAAGGATGTTCATTTCCATGAAAATGGGGACAAGTTGCAGCAAACAAACTACTCCACCCCGAAATGATTTGGGAAGAAGACATGCTGACACCCCCCGGCAATGAAAAGGTTGAGTTATTTAAAGTCTTTTAAATTGAAAGAATGGGGGTAGGGTCATGCTAAATGCATCAAAAAATTAATGTTGTTAGGCCCGCATCTCTTATCCATGTCAAGAAATCCCCCTTAATCTAAATCTTCATAATCTAGATTTCAATGTCATGCGTCAAGGGGAAAAAAAACCCACAAGCCCAACTTCTGTAGAACAGATTGAATACCTGCCACTGCCAGAAGCATTTGATGCAGGACGTCAACCCCTTTAAAGTTAATAAAAAGAAATGCCAATAGAGTTTGAGGTGCGCAAATCACAAGTGAGGAGACTCAAACAGAAGCACGTAGCCGGATGAGACCCAAAACTATTCAAAATTGAAGATCCCAGAGAAGGGCAGCCAGGAACGATATCCCAGGGAATGCAGAAGCACAAAACCAATGAAGCAGTACCAGAAGATACCTCAAAACAAAACAAAAGCATGAATTTTAGCAAGATCTCAAACTCTTAGCAATGCGATAGCAACTACCATGAATATACTCTATTACCTGTTATGGAACTACATGCGTCCTGCACAGAATAAAGAACACAAGCTGGGAAATCAAGAAAGTAACTAGTCCAATCCAAGAGTAGGATGTTCAGGGCGTTGCCCATCTAAACAGACTTGAACTGCAGTGCAAGCACACTAGTTTAACAAAATTTCAACATCCACTTGAAAAACACAGTTGCCAACTCTTTTAAATCAACTTCTGCTTCGACGCCGATCCCTTGCGCCATTTCTGCATATTATTAAGCATCATATTATCAGTATGAAATGTAAAATGATGACCGTGATTACAGACATGATGTCAGCATACATTATTTTTTTAAAAAAAAAAAAACACAGATGGTCAGAGGCATTCCACCATACGAATGCTTGTAACCACTTTAATAGAAAAAAGAAAACCCACAAAATTATGAGCATATTTGTTTTCAACACCTCCCAGTCTTAGAGAGCAGTAAAGTAAGGTAACGTCAAGCATGGATAGGGAGAACACGCAAGATCAAAAATTAAAAATTCATTAATAAGAATGAAATGAAACAATAAAAAACAAGAATTAATCAATAATCATGTCAAAGAATAAGCCGCGTTAAATGTTTCAATAATAACAAATCTGTTCACTGTACAAATTAGCATTCACCTAATTAGAAACTGGCAGTAAAAATATCAATGCTCCTCCAACAAAACTGTACCTAATTTGAAGCAGGAAATTAAGTTCAAAGAAACAAAAACTCACCCATTAGCATATGGTGGCTCCTCACGCCCACGATAAGGAGGTGACCTGCTATAGCTGCGTCCACGAGGCGATAAACTGCGGCGCCTAGGAGACCGACGAGGACTATAACTCCTGCTTCATATAAATGAATAATGCCAAAACACTCAAGAGATTAGAAATCTGCAAATTTGGGGAAAAAGATACTAACCCAAACAGTAACTATGAAGCCAACTTCCAACTCAGGAAGACGACACCAATGATCCCAAGTCATATAGAGAAACAAAAATTGAAAACTAGCAAGATTGAACTGTCAGAACTATCGACATCATCAATACTTTTATAATTTTTGAACGTTTATCACAATCATCAAGTCACATACATATGAGCCCCATTAAAATCATGGAAACTAGAGTTAAACAATAAAACAGGCACAGGGAGCTCACATAAGAACATGGCAAGAATCCGTAATCAAATGAAAAAATAACACCACATCGTGCTTGCCTGCACAAGTGCACAATTGAAAGCCTGAGATAGCAATCTAACCTTCGCCCATAACTTGGGCTCCTACGAAATCGTGGGGGACTGCGGCTGCGGCTGCGGCGTCTTCCTGAACCACCACGCATGCGACATTCACGAGCAAAATGACCAGGCTCACCACACTCATAACACTTCAAATCAGAACCGCCAGAACGACCACGACCACCTCCACGCCCACCACCTCCACCTCTGGAATTGTGGGAAAGCTCCACCCTCCAACCATTCTTACCTACTCATGGAAACAACAATGAAAATGCTAAACAAAAAATAAATACAGCAACCCAAATACATAACCATTTATTCAGGTGAAAGAAAACAAATAACAATACCTTCTAAATTATAAGACTATAGGTCAATTCCAGCAGAAAAATATGATATGCATAACACTTTCCAGCATGCGGATTAAAAATAAGGTGGAAACAGGTGGCATTGGTAAAATGAACACAGATATCACTCACATGGCCCATGTGTATATAAATCTATTAGAGCTCAACTTGCTCATAGGAATATACATTTAACACAGGCAGCACTCACATGAGCCATAGATTAATTGCAGTAGCATACATCTCAAAAAAACAAAGGCATTGTGTAACAGAGGTGTAGCTTTGCCATAACCCTCCAAATCAGTGCAATTCCTCAGTTCACATTCTCATTTCCCTTCACATACAGTCAATCTCTACAAAGCAGCAGTCTTTGATGAAGACTGGCGGAAAAACCACTACTGCAGGCCTGCTTGCAGAAGAGAATTGCAAGGCAGAAGTACAAGAAAGAGAGCATCTGCTAGCACGTGGGCCTATAGCTTCCTCATAGGAGAAAGAAGACTTAAATAGGAAGTCGAGGGAAACCTTTCTACATATCAACCAGAAAAGGGGCCAAACAATAATAAATTAGCAAGTAAAATGAACAGAATATTAACAGAAATTTGCAGAACAGATTTAGAAAGCATCGCAGTTTTTTTAAATCCTCTCGAACGTACCATCCAATTCCCGAATAGCATCCTGTGCATCTCTGCGGTCATCAAAGTCAATAAAAGCATAACCAGGTGGCCTCCTTGCAACCCACACACTGCACAAACAAAATTCATGGCGCGAGTTTATTATAAAAACGAATATAACTGTATTCCAGAAACAACTCATTGTCATGAAACTTGGTTAAAAAAAAATTAATATTGAAAAAAAAGTTAAAAAGCATGCCGACTACAGAGCAAAATGATATCAATTCATGACCCAATGCGTTTGATTCAAATGATATAAGGTTCACATCTTCGATGAGACAGTACCATTCAATGTAGAACTTTGTCAGCACAGCCAGTGATATGGTAAAAATTTACCTACTCAGTCTAAATTACGAAACACGAATTGCAAGATCACGAATTGACGGTCAAGCTACCTTCGTATGACTCCAAATACACGGAATTCATCTTCAAGGTCTCTCTCCGTAACTCTTGAATCCAAGTTACCAACATAAACGCGAGACATGACTTCGGCCTTTCAGAAGAACCTGCTGCAACACACAGACAACACGAATTAAACAAACCGACAGAAATCATGCAAATCTCGCAGCAGAAAGTCAAAAACTTCACTTTCTCTTAAAGGAAAAAAATGAATATGTTCAAAGCAAAAATGAGCCCAGGCTCTAATTCCAGGTGAAGAAAAAAATAGACCCTGACTTAGTAAACAGAATTGAGAACAAATACATGCGCTTAAATGGCTTCTGGGAAGGTCGCAAGACACAAAACCTGAATAGTAGAGAAGCGAGATCTAAACCTGAAGCGATGTGATGGAGAACCAACGAAAAACCCTAACCTCGGCCGCCTCACTCTCCTGTTTGCCCTAGGATTAATATCCAAGGCAATTACAAAGGCAGGAGAAAAATATCGCAATCCCGCCCGTGTCACTATATATATATATATATAAATTGCGCTTTCGATTTAAAAGACTTCAATACAAAATATCCCCCATCGCCGTCTCGTCGTTAACCGGAGACGACCGTAATAACTAATAACCCGATTTTTTTTTTCCGAAAGAAGTTGTGTATTTTAATAATTTAATTAATTATTATATACGTATGTATACACAAAAGGAGATAAAATGAATTTAAAAAAAAAAACTTTCTGAATAGTTACAATTTGATTTTTATTTCTAATTACGAAATGTAGACTTCTGCTCCCTTTGTTCAATACTTCAATCCATAAGGCTGAAGTTGGCCATCCTCGTTACTCTCATTCTGACCACTTGAAAGGTACAATTATTAATTTCCTTAGATATAATGTTATGCTTCATAATAAGATTCTAGATTTGGAGGGTATTTTAATTAAATAATTAATATCCACCAAGACAGATCGTATGTATATCTACAGCGTAGTTTAAGAAAGATATGTTTGACTGCGTTAAGGTCTCTATGGCCAAAAATGAATGCGAAAGTGGAAGGTTTGTGTGCGATGTAATTTGTTGAAACTGAAAGGAGGTCAAAAGTGTGTTGGGAAAGACATCATCGGGAAAGTAGGATCATGAGAGGTAAAGGGAACCTTAAACCAGAGTTAAATTAAGGTTTAGAAAAATGGTCGGATCATAGTCCACGTGTTTATAGAGCAATCGCCGTGTTCTGACATGAGAGAGTCACTCCCACCAACATCGTTCAATATCCATCCCTCCTCTCCCCCTCTTCCATTTTTCCTTCTCTTCCATTCTCATTTTCATTTCCCCATTCATTTCCCAACCATCACTCCGTTTTCTTATCTTCCCCCATCACAACAAGGCAAACCGACGCAAAAGGATATATATTAAGTTGTCACAATGTCATTCTGAATTGCCACATTCACATCAATCTTGTCTCTTTTTTGTTCTTGTTCTTCTTCTGATAGATATACTCACCCACATTGCAAATATAGCGAATCATAGAATAAGGACACAGATATGTCTGCCGAACCAGGACCATATGAACCAAAGAATATCCTCATAACTGGAGCGGCTGGTTTCATAGCCTGTCATGTCACGGCCAGGCTAATCCAAAAGTACCCCTCGTACAACATCATAGCTCTTGATAAGTTAGATTATTGCTCTACTTTCAAGAATCTCAGGTCATGTTCTACATCACCAAACTTCAAATTCATCAAGGCTGACATAGCCAGTGTTGATATTGTGAATTACCTAATTATCAAAGAGAAAATAGACACTGTCATGCACTTTGCTGCTCAAACCCATGTGGATAATTCGTTTGGGAACTCCATGGATTTCACTTACAATAACATATACGGCACCCATGTGCTTCTTGAGGCCTGCAGGGTTACCAACTGCATAAGAAGGTTCATCCATGTCAGTACTGATGAAGTTTATGGTGAGACTGGCTTGGACACCGACATTGGCAATCACGAGGCGTCCAGGCTTCTTCCCACCAATCCATACTCAGCAACAAAAGCAGGAGCAGAAATGCTGCTAAAAGCTTATCATAGGTCTTATGGTCTTCCTGTTATAACAACTAGGGGCAATAATGTGTATGGTCCCAAACAGTACCCTGAAAAGCTTATCCCAAAATTCATTCTTTTGGCCATGAAAGGTGAGAAATTGCCAATCCATGGGAATGGATCAAATGTGAGGAGCTATCTCTATTGTGAGGATGTTGCAGAAGCATTTGATGTCATACTTCACAAAGGAGTGATTGGACATGTTTATAATATAGGTACTAAAAAGGAAAGGAGTGTGCTAGATATTGCAGAGGAGATATGCAAGTTCTTTCAACTGAATCCTCAACAAGTCATAGAGCATGTTAGAGACAGGCCTTTCAATGACAAGAGATACTTTCTGGATGATCAAAAGCTCAAGAAGTTAGGGTGGGAGGAGAAAACTTCTTGGGAGGAAGGAATTAAGATGACCATAGATTGGTACCAAAAAAACCCCGATTGGTGGGGTGATGTGTCTGCTGCTTTGAACCCACATCCGCGTTTCTCTGCAATCAATCTCTCTGATGAACCAGCATGGTCCTTCCAATATGGATTTGCAAGACTGGCAAGGTCATACACTGACATTACTCGCAATTCAGACGTGAAATTCCTGATATATGGCAAGACTGGTTGGATAGGGGGTTTATTAGGAAAGCTTTGTAATGAAGAGAGAATAGCTTGGGAATATGGAAGTGGAAGACTGGAAGATAGAACAACACTTTTAGACGATATAAGAAGAGTAACGCCTACCCATGTGCTAAGTGCAGCAGGAGTCACTGGCAGACCAAATGTTGATTGGTGTGAATCACATAAAGTTGAAACGATAAGGACTAATGTGGTGGGCACTATAACTTTGGCTGATGTTTGCAAGGAACAGGGTTTATATTTGATGAACTTTGCAACTGGCTGCATATTTGAGTATGATGAGAAGCATCCTCTAGGATCAGGCATTGGCTTCAAGGAGGAGGACAAGCCAAATTTTACTGGTTCCTACTATTCAAAAACCAAGGCTATGGTAATGTTTCAGAAACTATCATTTCTTGTTTTTCACACCATGATTGATTTTAATTTTGATATGGTTTAAAAACAGGCCTCTTCCTCTTCTTCTTCCTTTTTTTTTTTTTGTGTCTTTTCGACAAACACCAAAACCACACTTTTGCGTAGAGGGTTTTTGTTTTCTCTGCTAACCCACCATGCATATTTTCTATAGCAATGTCATTGACATCCAAGAACATGCCAAAACACATGCAGGTAGAAGATCTCCTAAAAAATTATGAGAATGTGTGCACACTCAGAGTTAGAATGCCAATATCATCAGATCTTAGCAACCCAAGAAACTTTATCACAAAGATTACTCGCTACAGGAAGGTGGTGAACATACCAAATAGTATGACGGTGCTAGATGAGCTTCTACCCATAGCAATTAGGATGGCCCAGAAGAACTTACGAGGAATATGGAACTTCACCAACCCAGGAGTGATAAGTCATAATCAAATATTAGAATTGTACAGAGATTACATAGATCCCCAGTTTAAATGGGAAAATTTTACTTTGGAGGAACAGGCAAAGGTGATAGTTGCTCCCAGGAGTAACAACGAAATGGACGCATCAAAGCTCAAGCAGGAATTCCCGGGTCTATTGCCCATCAAAGATTCCATTATGAAGTATGTTTTTGAGCCCAACAAGAAAACATGAACAGCTTTTCAACTTTTCATGTAACCTTTGTATCTAAACATCTATCTGTAAGCAATGTAAAAATTCGAATGTAGGACAAGTCGTACTTCGCTTTTTTACTTCTTTTCCCCTTTTTAATCCATATGTAGTCTCTTTTTTTTTCCTTTTGGGAATATGATGGGTTAATAACACTTACCAATCTCCTGTAGCTTAATGGTCATAGCTATACAAGATATATCTTTAGTATTTTTTGGCCATATGTTGTCATCTCCTCAACATTGTCAATCCCCTTAACAAAGCCTCTTCGGATGTAACTGGGTTACCAGCATGCACTGACAGAATTTATGCAAGTAAGGTTCAAGTTATTAATCTAGAGGAGCTTCGTCCATTCACTACCTTATATGAAGATTCAGATTCGGCAATCTTAATGGGAAAAATATCAGAATAGAACAATTAGCTCTCCGCTGAACGACAATGTCAAAAGGAATGTTGTGATTTTTACAGTTTAAAATAACCTATGCCTTCATTTACTTCGCCTCAATATATAACGTTTGCCGTTTGGCTAGCTCATATTTTTGCCGTAGGATTAAAAACAAAATCCGTTATTGCTATCTTCATCCCACATTTTGCTTTCTTCAGAACTTTTTAAAGAATGCAAGGTAAACCGGAAAGAATCGAAAACGAACTGCTCTAACACTGGACAACATGCATTATGGTCATCCGAGTTATGTTCCAAATAGTCATAGAGGGAACATTTACTTAAGGATCTGGGCATCAGTGGTCATAAAGGCCTATGTAACTTATAGCGCCACCAGTATAAATGATTCATGATCAATAGATTTAAACATCCGTAATGAAGCTATGATTGATATGATAATACAAAAAGAATGGGCAACTTTGAAATTTCTTACGGCTCAGTAGATGGAAAGACGCCAAAAATCAAAGATCCAAAGAACAAAAGAATCGCGACTTCCTAAACCTATCTCATCAGACAATCTGCTATCAGTACGTCCCATGAGTCCATGATTTCTCTGTGGAACATGGGCTACGCTCCCAAAATCTCATCATTGTGATTTAATCAAAGGTGAAATGCTTCAGACTCTTCGCAGATTGCCCCAGATTCGCCTTTTCTTCCATGTTGTCTGCAGTCTGCACAATTTCCAGCATCTGTATCTTCATTCATTCATAACAAGTATTTTGTAGATAATTGTCTGACAACCACAACCCGAAGAAGAAAAGAAAAAAGATGCTTACATCTAATTCCTATCCATCCTGCCCCCCCGGGGGGAATCAAATATATCCAATGTTAAAAGAGAGGCACCAAAAAAACTTGGCCAATCAATTATAAATCCAGTACTTGACTGAGCATCAGCTAAATTAGGGATTCTCCTTTTAAACCACAAAAAAGGCAAGGAGTGTGTGCATTATAGCCCAGTAAATCATAATTCCAAGTCGCAAAGCAGGCTGTCTCATTAGAGCTCGATCACATGATACCCTGCAAAAATGTGAAAGTAAGATAAACACTAAGCCCTTCGCTTTTAGTAAAGGAAAACTTTTCATCGAAGTAATACGAAGAGGAGGAAGAGCAAGCCTACCACAAGCCATCAATCATGTCAGTCAAAGGTCTGGTAAATCTTGGGAGCGGGACAATTTTTGATGAAGTGAGAGGCTTAAATCCATGTACTGTGCCACAAAATGGAAACCGGAAAAGTTAACAAGAAACTAAATTCTGTCTTTCAAAAAAAAAAAAAAAGTCGAGTAGTGCAGAATTACCTTTGTCCTCTTCATCATCCTCCATCCTACTAGTACTAGCACGGTCTACATCTACAGCAATGGCAACATGATCATTATTACCCTTGCGCAAACTGCGAACTTGAGGGGTTACAGATGTCCCTGATGCCGTCCACTTGTTGATCTGCTTAAATAGTCAAAACAAATCAAACCTTCATGCATGAGACAAGAAGACAGTAACTTTATATTACTTGATGTTAACAAATCTCATCACTTCCTTTTCATCACCACCCAAACGCATACTTTATTATTTAACCAGAGTGAAATGGTGTATTAAGCTACCTATGTGATAGTGGTACATAAATGGGCATATATTCCTTTTCCACAAGCAAAACCAGATATATGCAAGGACAAGATTTTTGTCTCACCACAGGTTCAACTTCCACAATTTCTGATCTTGTGATAGCTTGCTCTCCAGACTCTTCCACACCATCAAGCAAATTTAGTCGTGATTCTTTCTCGTGCAAAGACTTCTGCAGAGCTTCAGCTTTGTGTGTCAATTCTTCTACCTTTCTACTTTCTACGTTCAACATTGCATCCTTACTATCTGCAACTGCCCTTAAATTCTTAATTTCTGATAACAAAGAGATAAGCTTCTTATGAAGTACCTCTTTGTATTCATCAGCTTGAGTATTACCGTTCACTTCAGGAAGCATATCATGCATCCCATCTTGAGAGACCATCATGTCAACCCACATCAAGAACTCAAGGATCTCATCTGAGCTTCTCTTGTTGCCATTTTGTGACGCAAGAAGATCATTGGTACATCTTGTAACCTCTTGCCTTAAGAAAGAAATCTCAGAATCCCGCTCTTGTAGTTGGGATTGCAAATTTTCAACCTCCGCAAGTAGGCTTGAAGACAGGTGGTGAAGCTCATCAAACTTACTTACGGTGATGGAAAGCTTTTTGGTAACCTTACCATTAGAAGCTTCAAGATTCTCGATTTCCATATTCTTGTGTTGAATAACCTTTTCAAGTTCCTGAATCTTTTTCGTCAATTCTTCCATCTGCATCTCTTCCTCATCCAGAGCTTGTGTTAGTGCCTCAATTTCTGCATTAAATCATGATTTCCAAATAAGTACAATCACATATCAAACATAAATACAATACAGGTTTACTATATTAAAAACACAAGTAATCAGACAAAACTCGCCTTGGTCTTTGCCAGACAACAAATCCAGCTGACATCTAATTTTCTCCTCTAATTCACCAGTTGTTACTAGCCTATCCTGCAGAGCATTCACCTTCTGCTCCAGTATCTTCCTTTCAGCCTCAATCTCATCAATCTGTTTGACTAAATTTTGCTCTTGCATCTTTGAAGATTGAAGTTCTTGAAAGTAATTGTTTGCAGTACCTTCGGCAGCCTTAATCTGATTTACAAGGTCCATGCAGATCCTGTCCCTTTGAACATCCTTCTCCTGAAGTTCTCTCTGCAAATTTGTTATGGCAGCCTTCATTTCCTTCTGGTTAGCATCTAGGAATTTAGTTCTTATGCTAGCAACCTCATTTGCAGCCAACAGCAACCTATCTGCTAGAGTCTTGATATATTCCCCAGATACTAAACGAGCCACACCACTAGAAGGGTCTATTCCGTCCTCAAACGTTGTTGATTGAAAATTAATCCCAAGATCAGAAGATGCTGACTCATTAGCAAGCAGATCAGCTTTTCCATATTCAATTACAGCAATCGAATTGGCACATGCTTGATAAAGGTGGGCTATATTCTCACGTAAAACAATAAGTTCCCCATCTTTTTCACTAATTTCTTTCTTCATGGCTTCACAGGACTCTCTTTGGGATATCATATCCCTTTGAATGCTCACCAGTATTTCAGATAATGTTTTGCCCTGTTCCTGTGCCAAACTCAAGTGCGTGTGTATACTTTCCTTAATAGAACCAAGCCCTGTCAATAACTTTTGCAGTTGAAGCCCAAGAAGACGAGAATTTTCCGTTAGGTTATTATCATCAACATGGTCAATCATCTCTGACCAAGGATCCTCAGACACAAAGCTCTTCTGAAGAAGAAAAACAATTAATTAAATAGGATGAAAGAATAAGTAATATGCGTAATAACAATGAGGTATTGAATTATCTCATTTCGGGGATATAATGACGTGAAAAACCAGATTCCCCGCATTATGAAGAAAAACTTAAGTTAGCAACATAATAAAAATCCCAATGAAGAAACAGGTGATCAAAAGTAATCAATATGTACAGAATCAGTAAATCCTGAAGCGAACTATTAGCCAAAAGAAAAAAAATATATATATATATATATATATATATCTAGTACTCAGTTTGTTGTGCCTTGAAAAGTCGGCATTAATTTACAACAAACATATATGAACAGTATCAGTAAATCCTGATGCGAACTATCAGTGCAAAAAAAAAAAAAATCCTCTAGCCCTCAGTTTGTTATGCCTTGAATAGTTGGCGTTAATTTCCAACAAACGTATGTTCAAAACATATTTGAATAGCACAGGTTATGGCATTTTTTATTTCTCGTCCTCATACCAGATGAAAGACATTTGATGTAGATTAAAGCCGAAAGGCAAAACATCAAAGCAAGAAAGAGCAAACGAAAAATTGACTAAATAAACATCAACATAGTAAAAATACCTGATCATCAGATGACCTTCCTAAAATGCTGTCATGTCCTCTAGTAACAGATAAATCAACGACAGGGGCAGCATTTTTGGCTTTCATGCATGACTCAAGACCAACCTTTAGACTTCGGAAAGATTCCAAATCCACAAAAAAAGCGTTGGCCATTAACTTGCCAGTGTCACTGAAGCCTTTGTGAAGTTGGTTCAAGCTAGATTTTAAGCCCATGATCTCAGCAAAATGGCTATTGCTTTCCTCCATGTGCAAAGTTGATAACTTTTCAAGATGAGAAATTGCTTCCAGTTTGTCGGCTTCAGTTAAATCCCTTTCCTTTCTGATATCAACAAGTTCACCAGTAGCTTTTGCAAGCTCCTCCTGGTAGGCATCATTCCTCTCTTGAACTTCATTCAACTCAGCCAGGAGAAGCTCTGCTGCTCTTTTAGATTTCATGGACTCTTGCTCTAGAGAAGCCACAGTAGCATGCAAACCAGAGCATAGCTTCCCAATCGATTCCAGTTTGCTTACTGGATCACTTCTCTTGGATGCAGTTTCAGGTTCAAGAGCTCCTAGCCTATCTGCAAAACTGGACAAATGTTTGAACTTCTCTACAAACTCTGCAAGTGCATGTTCCCAGTTGTTGTTCTCAGATTTCAAGTGCTCTATCTCATTAGTCATCTCTTCAATTGTTTGCTTCAGACCATCTCGTTGTTGAACCAGCATCTTCCCTTTCCTGACAGCGACATTTAACTTCTCTCTAACAGAAGCCGACTTCTGTTCCTCCTGATCAAGCTGCTGCTGCAACTGCTCAGCTCTTTTAGTTAAAGCTTCAACTTCACCAGATAAAGCTATTTGGTTGTCCAAATACCTATCTCTCTCCTCCTTCACATGCATCAATTCATGAAAAGCCGCTTCCAGATCTTTCTTCAAACTATCAATAGCTGTCTCTCCCTTATCATCAATATCTTGGCCTCTTCCCTGGTTAAGAGCAGCATTAGCTTCTTGTGTATGTTGTCCATCATGTGAATCCTTATATGCTGGTTTTGTTGCCGAGAGAGTTGTATAATTCTCTAAGAGCTTTCTTAACAGTACTTCTAATGAATCAATACTCTCCTTGCCAGAAACCAAATATTCTGTTTCAAATTCCTGTAAGGCATCACCGACTAAATCTTGCAATTCTTTGATCCTGCCCTCCATGGTGAGCATTTGCTCTTCAATGGCAGATTTCTGCTTCAATTTCTCCTCCAAGCCAGTTACCTCAGCAGACAGCCTATCATTCCCAAGTTCAGCTTCCCTTGCCTGCAATGATAGTTTCTCACATTCATGCTCCAGTGACTCCAATCTGTCAGAAAGATGCTTCCTCTCAGACGTAACAACTCTGAGATCTGCCTGGAGAGCAGACACTCTCCTTTGAGATTCTTCAAGATCAGTATTTAGCAATCCACAATAGCTGTCATATTGTTCAATCTTGAGCTGAAGAGAATCTCTATAATGATTAGCCTCAACAAGTGCTCTTCCTAACCACTCAATCCTATCAACTGTCTCCATAGACCGCAAATGTGAAGGCATATCAATTCTGTCTACAAGCTCTTCCCAGCTCTGCACTAGTCTATTTCTTTCCATTAATGACTGCTCCAGCATTTCATTTTGTTCAGCCAGTACATAGAACTTGCTCTGTAACTCCTCAAAGTTTTTCCTTAAATCTTCCCCTGTATCAGATTGTTGCTGAACATCTTTCCAGGCATCCGTGACATCAAAGCCAGCACCAGGGAATGAACCTCCTTCAGCTGAAATCTTCTGATCTGAATCATTCATAGGCAACGAGTTTCCAGCAGCCGACCTAGCCAACCAATCAATCTTCTCAATAAGGTCCCTTGAATGAAACTGCTCTGGCAGATCTAGGTCTTCCAAAATCTCTTCTATCCTCTGAAGTAATGAATCTTTATGAAGAAATGACTCTCTTAAGGCATTGGCTGAATTGCGTATGTATGAAAGCTCAGATTCCAGAGCCTCCACACGTTCACCAGCCTCTGCATAGGTCTTAAGTTTAGCTTCAACCTCATGAATTATAGTATCTTTCAGCCGTAACTCCTGCAAGCATCTCTCCAATTCACTGGATGTTTCAGCCAAGGATTGTTTCAGGCCATCCCGCTGCACAACCAAACCTTTGCCCTTGCTAACAGCTATGCTAAGTTTCTCCCTTGTGGAGGAGACCCGTTGTTCTGCTTGCTCAAGTTCTCTACTCTTTGCATTCAATTCGGAACATACAGCAACATGGGTTTCCTCAGCCTGACGTAAGCTTTCCCTCAAAATAAGTATTTCATTTTCATGCTCAGCACAAAGGGTTTCTAGATAACGCATCTTTTCCTGCATATCCGATAATTCCATCACCTTAACTCCGTAGCCTTCTTTAGCTATGTGCTCCTGGAGCTCAGCTTCTCTAGTTTTCTGGACAAGAGTAGTTACTAACGATTCTAAACATGAGAGAGGTGCTTTGTTCATTTTGATCTTCATCTCGTCCACCTCCAACACGCCTTCAACTTCATCAACTAACTTACCAACAACATCTAAATCAAGACACTTCATGTTCAGTTCCTCCATTTCCTTTTCCTTGTGCATCAAATCTGACTTAATCTCCCTCGTGATAGACTCAAGTTCCAACCTCCTATTCAGTATGTCCCCAAGAGATTTAATGACGGTCTCAAAGATGCTATAGTTCAGTAGATCAGGCAATGGCTCACCTTGTACATCTATCTTATCTTCATCTGTAGACCCACAGTGCTCATGGACAAGCTTCCCCAGGTCATGGTATATTTTATTCAATATAACAACAGCCAATTCATTCTTCCCATGAACCTCATTACACCTTGTATTCATTTCTTCAAACGAAGTACTCAATGTTCCTTGTTCTGCATAAGCAGTTTCAAGCTTCTTCCGAAGATCTGCAATCACTTCTGCTGCTGCATTAACAGAAACTGCAAACCGATGATTGATGTCAGTGCTACCGTAACTGCCAGCAGCGGTAGTTGAGGAAAAATCTTCTCCCACTGCTCCATCCAGCTTCGCAGCTATTTCAACAATCTCAGCCACGGTAGTATTCCAGCCTTGTTCAAGTAGCGTTGCCCTCTCTGTCACCTCCTTCAGCAAATTTTCCAGCTGACTACCAACAACAGAGGCCATGTGATTTGAAATTTGTTGCATGTCATGTAAATCACTGCGCAATTGACTAATTTTCAACTGGCTATTTCCAAGCTCCGCACAAACTATAGTGTTTTTGGTTTCGCGAGAGAGGTTTTCTTCCTTTAGAGCTCTGCACAATTCCTCAAGATCATTTTTCTTTTCTTGAACATCACCCAGACGTTGCATTGCAGCTTCATATTGAACTGCAAATTCAATGTTGGATGCTTCCAAATCTGAACAATGTTGTTGCAATGCTTCGGCTTGGTATTTGTCACCAATTTCTTCTATTTTAGCCTTGCATGCATCCAAACTGCTATTAAGAATGGTATTTTCTTCGGTAAGTTGTTCAAGATGCGCTGTGGCTTCTTTAAGATCAACTTCAAATCTCATCCTTTCCCCCTTTTCTGCAGATAATTGATCTTGAACAGAAGCAATCAGAGATAAGAGTACATGAGCCTCAAGAACAGCAGATTGTTTGTCCTCTTCAAGCTTCTTTTGTTGATCAGATAATAATTCCAGGCTTCCGGTTAAGTTTGAAATCTCTAATTGTAGACTTGCCACTAAATCTTTACTTTCAACAGATTCTGCTGACAGCTTGCCAATCTCATGGGCTGGATGCTCAGCTTCCATTTCAGTCTTATTGCTATCCTCAGTCACCGAAGACAACCTTGCACTTAGGTAAGAATTTTCAGTTCTTAATTCTTCAGCTGAACCCTTTAGGTCAGCCAATTCTGTTGACAGCTTTTTACTTTCAAAAAGGTGAAACTCCTTTTCCTCCTCAAGTTTATTTTTCTCTCCAATCATCAAAGAAAGCGTTTCACTCATGACGTTGTTTTCTGTCTGCAAAGCTGTGACCAAGCCTATACAGTCAGTTAGCTCTGTGGACAGATCCAGTGAATCCCTTTGTGACAATTCAAAATTATTCTCCAACTCAACGACTCTGGCAGAAAATGCTTCAGCCTTTGCTTGGGCAGACTTGAATTGGCTCTGCAGTTCCACATTCTTGCTGACAACATCATGTAATTCAATCTGGCAATTAGCAAGCTCTTCTACAAGGCGATGATTCTTGTCATTGATTTCACTATGTGAAGCTCGGAGGTCAGATAGTTCATTAATCAACAGACAACGATGACTATCAGACTCCTGTTGAAGCTCCAGCTGTTCTGTCATTTGCAGATTGAGTATATCATTCTTTAGGTTTGCCAGAAACAATTCTTCTTTGACTCTCTCAAATGATTCTAGAAAGGCAAAATCTTGTAAAACTAGAACACTGGCTACAGGATCTCCATGAGAAACAGTTCTTCTAGACTTGACTAAACAGTGATACTCTTCTTCACTAAGCCCATTTATAATTTCCGTCAGCTGAACGAGGTTGATTGAGTTCACATCAGAAATAGGAGAGATGCCCAGTGTTCTGTCTGCGTTTCCTTCATGAGCTCCTACTGACAATTCATGAATTTTATCCACAGGTGCAGATCCAACAAAAGCATGCCATTGGTTAAGCTCCTCCTGAAGTCCCTTGTTCTCCCCCTCTTCATGAATCAAACCAGGAAATACCTGTCCCTCCAGGTTATTCAAAACCTTTCCTGCCGTTGCATCTTCGTAGCCCTTAGTAGAAGCTGAAAAATTGTCTGACATGATGTCCTTAACAGAAGATTCTTCAACTGCCTTGCCTACTTGGTCTGCTCCATAAGATTCATCCTCACTCCCACTCTGCCCTAGAGCAATCCCGGAAAGAACCTGAGCATTCTCACTGACTTCAGACAAGGGAGTCTTCTCATGACCATCAATTTCAGCAGCACAGCTTTGAAAAGAATTGTTTGCCTCAGAACCATCAGCATCCTGCATTGTCCCTAGCAAGCAACAAATGAGATCATAATTAAACACAAAATACACAACAGTTTTCCCAGCCAAATCTGATAGAATAACATCATCCAGAATTAAAAAGACAGAAAGTTGTGGCCTTGAATAAAATGAAGAGAGAGGTAAGAGAAGAGCACAACCTACATCTGTTACCTGATCTTCCCTCGTTAGAGTCAAGGATGTACTCAAAATTTTCTCAGGTAAAAGCAAACACTCTTCCCTCTCCTCATCCTGTCTTTCTAATCTAGTAGCACCATCCGCTGCAGCTGCAACTGAAGCAGGTGAGGACAAATCAACAGTTGCAGTAGAGATATGATCGTCCATTACTCCACCTTCAAAATTAACCTCCCCCATTTCCGTACCAGCATCCTGAGCATTTCCCCCCTCATTTTGGACTGACATCTGAGAATCAGCTTCAGCTACTACCTGATTCTGAAGTTCTAACTCAACAATAGAAGCCAATTCTGCTTTGATATTTGCCTCATATGCGACATCCACTGATGATGAATCAACAGGTGGAACATTAAACTCAGGAGTTGATGAATTTGCCAAAGACTGCAACCCCGATGATTCTGTGACACTCAAATTACAAGCAGTGGCAGTCTCAACCTCCTCATCAACAGTATGAGACGATGCCATTGGCATAGGAGCGCTAGTTGCAGCATCGGTTTCAGACTCTAGATGCTCAGGTTTGCCAGATTTTTTTGAAGATTTTCCAGCATTATTACTGCCTTTACCATCCTTCTTTTGACGGAATTGTTGAAGCTGATAACAAAAAAATAATAATTAAAATCATGAACCTTTATAGCTAAAGCTTATCGGTCTAATTATTTAAATAGGAAGAGAGAACAGATACCAACTAGATAATTTCATATCCACTTTTTTTTGGGGGGTGGGGGTATAAATATTCCAGTTTCCAGGCAAAAATAATGATGCTAATAACAATAATTGAAGCGATGAAATTCAATGGTCATCGTTGTTTCCTTGAGTGTAATGATATTCCAATCCCTACGGAACAACAGTCTAAACCCCTTTATATTCAGTGACATAATTAACTCAATTGCTGCGCTGCCATCATGCAAGCAAACTTCGGCGGTGACCACTCAACGTATTGAAATGGAAGAGAAGCAGTTCCCTATTGCTATGTCCATATTTATAATTGAAAATTGTGATTAAACGAGATAGCCAATATAGAGATACCCTTTTTCTCCCGGCTGCAAGCAGATCGGTGCGACTCTTGTTTTTGTCCATCCGACCCGCTTGGCTCTCGCTTCCTGCTGTGACGGCGACAGTCACCACAAGCAAAACCCAGCTCCCATTTAAATCCCCTTATTCTGCAGCCAGAAGGGAATAAAACACGATGACGTTAAGACTGTCAACAAGGTGATCAGAGTTCAAAACTGCCCCGCGTTATCTTCATAAATCATGGAAACTAGCTCTTCCGCACAAGATAAGACGTTGCACAGCCCTTTGTAACAGAATATTCGGACAACTGCAAAAGGCCCTGAATTCTAGATTTAAATTTATATTGCCAAAACTCACCAGCAACCAAACGAGGCATAGCCAACTAATTTTGAAATATCAGCAGAGAGACACCACCAGAGAACCCGCAAATCAAGAATTAAACTTCGAAATTATTTGATTAACTAGACAAACAAGAGATCAGTATTCAAAGGTGGATACTGGGACGAAAAGAATCAGCACCTCGATTAGGGATTGGCAACAAGGTGTCCCTTGCTAATTTGTTAATAAGCGTGATGTCGCCTCGAATTCGATGCAGTGTGAATACGGATTCAGATAAATTTGTGTTTAACTATGAACTAGATGGCGCAGCCCTCTGCCACGGCGTTTGATTCTGTGCGTGTTTGAGATCTTACGGGCGACTGACCTCTTTCCTGCCGGTGAAACTGTGCTTTCTCTGGTCCGTAATTTTTTCAACTTTTTTGGTGCGAAACCGGGACTTTCATTCTGCGATTGGGCAGTTTAAGTTTTTTCAAAGAAATGTCCCGAGAAAACGTTTCCATTAAAAATAAATTAGGCAAGCACGTGAATATTGCTCATATATTATAAGAAAAGCATGAAATAAAAATATAACCTACTTAGTATAAAAGTAACTTGATTTTCAATTTGATCCTAAATATAAAATTCAATTCATTTTATTACTTATATTTATTTATTTTTTAATATAGTTTTTGTAAGTTTTAATGATACCATCACGTAATAATTCTAGTTAATAGTATTTTTAAAAAAATAACATCTATTTATTATAAATAATTAATTTAAATAATTTTTAATCTAATTAAATTAATCAATTAGTTTTTATATTAAAACTACATGTAGTAATTTTTATTATCTTGAATGATGAGTGTTATTTGAAGCAACAATTTTTTAATTTAGGTTTATATTGTTAGTGCATTTTGGTTCAATTCATGCCTGCAATGCAATAAAATACAATATATTAATGGGTTAATATAATCCTTATTCTTTTAAATTTACTCTCATTTTGATTTTAGCCCATCATATTCAAACTATAAATTTGGACCTTCTTAATCCAAGTTTTCATTGAATTATGGGAACCAATGTTTTGAATAAAAAAAATTTAATAGACCATAATTTATTATTTAAAATTTAAGAGATTAAAATCAAAATGAAAATATATTTAAAACGTCACGGTTTGCATTAACCCTGTATTAATTAAAATTTGACATCTTGGACCCTAAACACAAAAAAGAGTGGCGCTTTGCCGGCTTTGATGCGAAGAAGGAAAGTGACGTGGTCCTCGTTGATCACGTTCACTAGATCAACATGTTTTCGTCCTTGTCGAAATATAATTTTCTTCTCAGCCAGTAAAATGTTACAAAAATTAAAAATCATAATTCTAGTGATTGTTTTCTGTTAAGGGAAAGGAAAATTTGGGAAAAAAATCTTATCGAAAATTTTATTCGTAAAAATAACCTAAATCAGAGTATCAAAAATATCGATATTCTGTACGTGCAAAATTTAAGGATAGTGATAATTTATGCTTAAAATAATTTATCTGATTATTCTCAGTGAAAGATTATTTTTCAATTTTTCTTTAAAATAATTATAAGCCTTCCAAATTTCATCCGCTTGAGCTGATTTAGATCTCATGTTGCTGGCTATCTCTATTATCCATTATAATAACTCAATTGGTGTGTATATAATCCAAATGCTTAGCATTGCGTCCCTTAATTATGTTTATGGGGAAAAAATGCAAAATATGGATTGTTGTTAATCCCTTCACATAATTTTTAGTCCGCTTGTAATTAAATGTATTGATTACTCTGTGTGAACTCCGCCATTAATAAACTAAAAAGTTATTTAGCACCGCACAGACATTTAAAAAAAGAAAGAAAGATAATCTTCGGTCACTAATAGCATGTGAAATGATGTTACAGAGAAAAACAATATACTCCTTTTTTTGTTTAAAAGACAGATATAATTAAATAATGACAACATAAAATAAATATATAAAAATAATCTTATTGTAACAGTGCAACCAAACATGTTGGTGGAGCCTTATCTTCTAAGCAACGCAGCGGTGGGTGAAACTGGGACTGTTGGAAGACATCATCATTTTTTTTTTTTTGGGTCCATTAAAAAAGCCAAAAGGGGAAGAACAGGAGCCATTATCGCTGCTGGCTGCTTATACGGTTTGAAGTTTTGCCATGAAATATTAATCTCGTAAAGATTACTATTGTATAGGAAAATAGTAATGGTAAGATTTGAAAGCGGAATCATGTGAAAAAGATATGAGAGAAGCAAAGCAACTGAGCCCAGCAAAGAGGAAATTCAAGTGGCCCAGTATTGGAGATTGACACGCACCTTCTCTGAAAATTTTACTACCTCTGGTACCTAATATAAGAACTGGTTGATTAATTTAAGTAGATTAAAAAAAATTTGTTAAGTTAGTTATTAATATAATAAATATGTATTGTCTTTCTTAAAACATCCTTATTAATAATGTGGAATAACTAGAATTATTATTTAATGAAACATTTAACTTGTGCAACTATTAAAAAAATTATTTTAAAAACTAGATAAATATTTGAGAGAAAGTATATTGTGATCTTATATTTAAAATTAAATTAAAGTCAACTAGCTCTTGTATTAAGGACTAAATATAGTATTAATTTACTTGGGTAGATATCCGGCTTAAAAAGATAGCCCTTTATAAATTGGGCTTTGAAAATAAATGGGCCAGTCCCTCTGGGTTGATGCATCAGCCCATAAAATTCCAATATCGCGGGCCCGGTGTCACTGACATACGAAAATGGGTGTGGGCCTCCCTTTTCATTTTCTGTTCTATATATAAAGGAAAAAGAAAATATCTCTATCAACTGAGTACAAGTTTCTGCTTTTAATCTTATGGTTGGGATTGTTGTTATTTTGCTCCCCTTTAATTGATCGCACCAACCAAACATGAACATCCACTCTCTAATCATATCAATATTATTGTTCAGATGTTCCTTTAGTCCTATTTATAAGGCAGAAATAAAATACATTTTTTAATCATATTTATAGGACACTGAGAGATTTTTTTGTATGAATATATAATTTTACCATTCATTTATTATTATGTTGACTTTATTGACATGAGGTATAATGTATATTAAGTATGAATAAAATTGAAAAGTTGTTAAACTTTAAATTAGAGCTAATGAAGTTTACGGTTTTTTTTTTATCTGTGTGTGAAACATGTTGAAAATGACTTATAAATAAGATCAGTGAATTATATTCTAACCCTAATTACTAATGACAAATCAGACAAACACTCACACGTGCCTGCCGCTCTCGATTTGTCATAATTAGCAATAATTAATTAACTTGCTTTATCCTCAAATGCCAAAACTTTCTTCTTAAACAGTATCCGTAGTAAATGTCTACTGAAAAATCAATGTTAGCGGCACTCAAATGCGATTAACAACGAGGCGCGTGATAAATATCACAGCTTCATAATTAAAAAAATAATACTACGTGAAACCTCGTTTAATTTTTATTTTGATTCTAAATATAAGATCTCAATTCATTTTGTCTGTTATATTTATTCTTTTTTCAAGGTAGTCATTCTAATAATAGTAATTCTAACCAATACACTTGATTAGTAAGGATATTTTATGAAAGAAAACACTTGTTTATTACAAATAAGTAATTTAACTTATTTTTTTAGTCTCTTCAAATTCTTCGATTAGTTTTTATAATTAGGACTAAAAGGAGTAATAATTTTCTATGTAGCGTGTATCGTTCCACACAGTGATTAGTTGCTAAATTGGTTTAAATTATAAAATAAAATAAAACAAAGCAAAAGAAAGCGAAGGCCTGGGAATCTCATCCCGTAATGGGGCTTCCTCCAACTTGCACATGGATCACTTCTGAATTGTTAATCCCATGGTGGACGACACATAATTGTGATGGTTTGTTAAATTAAAGAATCATTTGGGTCAACGTCTTTGTGCGAATCAAAGATATGGCAGCAACATAGCATGATTTTAGGACGACGGTGGACAGATGAAATATCTACCACAGTATTAACCAAAGAATATGTGTATTATATACTACTTCTGGTTCTTAATATAAAAGTTAGTTGACTAATTTAAAGAAATTAAAAAAGAAGTTAAGTTAGTTATTTGTAATAGATAGGTGTTGTTTTTCCTAAAAATATCCTTTCTAATCAAGTATGTTGGTTAAAACTATAATTATTAGAAGGACTATTTTGAAAAAAATTGAGTAAATATGAGAGATAAAATGGATTGGGTCTTATATTTAGGACCAACATAAAAGTCAAATGGGTCTTATATTAAGGACTGGAGATAGTAGTTATTTGTAATAAATATATGCTGTCTTTTCTAAAATATCCTTATTAATCAAGTACTCCCCGGTCCTAATTATAAGACCCAATTGACTTATTTGAGGAGATTAGGGAAGTAAGTTAAGTTGGTTATTTATAATAAATAAGTGTTGTCATTCCTAAAATATCCTTGCTAATTAAGTATATTGGCTAAAACCATCATTATTAGAAGGATTATCTTGGAAAAAAATGCATAAATATAAGAGACAAAATTGATTGGGGTCTTATAATTAGGATCAAATAAAAAGTCAAATGGGGTCTTATAATAAAGACCGGAGGAGTATGTTGGTTAGAATTATCATTATTATAAGCACTATCTTGAAAAAAATGCATAAATAAAAGAGATAAAGTGGTTTGAGGTTTTATAGTTATAATCAAGATAAAAGTCAAAGAGATTTTATATTAATAACCGGAAGTAGTATTTTAAATCAAAATTAAGTCAGACTTTGGTGCCTGAGATTCTGGAGTGTGCTCTAAGAAAATTGAAAACGTAGCAGCATAACAAAGAAAACGCATTGAAATAATAATTTAGCGGGGGGAAGGGAAAATAAATTAAAGGGGTCGTCTCTCGGACATCACGGACAAAAGTGGGACATGATTTATTATTATTGGCCAAATAATGCGTAACTAGGAATCAAATCCTCGCCCGTATCACTCAGAATGTTGTGTTGTGATTTTAAATATATTAATTTATTAATGCGTCTGCTTATTAATATGTGAATACGTGAACATAGGAATCTTTAGCTATTTGCATATTCTCCTGTAATTTTCTCCACTTAGCTGTCAGGTATAAATACACAGAAAAATGAGGGGCCGATTCCACTAATGTCAACTAATAGAGTTGATTATGATGATTTGAGTTTTGAATTTTAGTAACTGTAAGCTGTAACTTTTCCACTCCACTTATTCTCCTAAGCAATAAAAAAATACTCAAGATAAGTTGGTAGTTACCGAGTCAATATAATGGAAGTATCTATAAAGACTATAATGAATTTTTTTCGCCTTTTCACAAACGAGACATTTGACTAGTGAAAGAGAAAT